TACAAGGTGTGCACCCGCCACTGCGAATGGCCTTCAGTACGGCGTCCTTGCTGAAAAGGAAAGGAAAAACCTCGTCTTCTTTTACCTCATCGGTGGAAAGGGAACATGGGTCGTGAAGGTGTTCCATATTACATTAAAAATCCTTTTCAGGAAAGAGCTCAGGTTAGATCATCAGGTCGGATACACAGGACTTGTGGCCATTGCCAATGCGTCCAGTTCATTCCATTTGTGAGCTCTGATGCAATTCCACTGTGCTTCGGCTGCAGAGAAGTTCTTGATTCTTTTCTTTGGAATACTGGATGACGGTCAGACGGCATGCGAACGAGATGTTGGAATGTTCGACCGGTAATATCAATAGGATCCAGTCAACAAAGGGTCATCACCTGAACCGGTTTCTATTCGAGAAATTCAAGCCAGGCACATGACGAGTTCATCATGTAATCAAATCAATTCCTCTATTAATCCAATGCAACAATATAATCCGGTAGTGAAAGTCTCCCGGAACCCTGAAAATGTGGATGTATCCTGGGAGTTGGTTCATCATAGAATCCAGCAACTCTTACTGGAATTCCCTCTACCTCGCCGCCACCGAACACACGTTATGGGCCCACCGTGGTTTGACCGAGAACTGCGGGCGTGCCTCCGGCAGCGGAATAAAGCCTAGTCAAGGTACCGTGCAACAGGCGCAGGATATGAGGAATATCGATGTATTCGGAATCACTGTACATCGCTAAAAACATCCAAGAGAACCAGATTCGAGGAACGACTCGCAGCGGATACAGTACAAGCATCAAAGCATTGTGTGCCTACCGCAGGCGAAGAATCAGAGCAACGCCTGGTCTCCAGACTCTCGCCAAAGATGGGGCACTAGCCGAAAAAGACGAAGATAAAGCGGAGATGCTGGCATCACATTATGCTTCAGTGTACACCCCAGACTCCAGCACACTAGTATATCTACTGGACACTGACAATGCACTGAACTGGACCCCATTTACAATCGGAGAGGTGGCCCTGGAGCTGCGTCGACTAAAGGTTCACCAGTCAACTGGAGCTGATGGTGTGCATCCGCTGATCCTGAAGGAGCTGGTGATGAACTTGCAGCGCAAATGTGCAACCTGTTCAATTTTTCATTCACTCAAGGGCGTTTACCGCGGAAGTGGAAGGACGCTGTCATTGTTCCATTGCCTAAAGTTGGGAATAAGAGTGACCCTGGTAACTACTGATTGTTGTGAGATAATACTCACTTGTGAGTAATCGGTAACTTTCGGTGATTAAAAATAGAACAAGACCATCAAGGACCAAGTAATATGTTTGGGAAGAATGAACACTGCTTGTTCTACACATTACTCTAAGTGTCGCGATGTGTTGCTATGTCATGTTTCTGATAAGGTTTTCGTGCTGTGCATGCAAAATTAGTGACCTTCAATTTTTATTCTGCAATAAACAACTCTCCTCGACCAGCACCGCCTTTTGGGAATATAACACTACCAGGCAGCCTTACTGGCCTTGTGGGTAAAGTATTGAAGCGACTGGTGGCTGCACGGCTTCGGCAACATTTGGTGTGTCACGATCACCTGTGCCACCAGCAACACGGTTTCCGGCCGGGTCGATCATGCCTCTCAAACCTGCTACTTGTGCGTGAATGCTGGACCGAGGACAAGGCCAAAGGACACGAAACGGACATCACCTTCGTGGACTTCAACAAGGCCTTCGACAAGGTGCCGCACGACCTCCTTCTGCGAAAGCTGTCCGACTTAGGTGTATGTGTAGTCATGCAGAATTGGCTGCGAGACTTCCTCCTCGACCGGAAATTCTGCGTCCGTGTTGGAAAATCACTCTCTGCGTGGTATTCCGCTCTCAGTGGGGTCCCCCAAGGCCCAATTTTTGGTCCATTGCTCTTTGTGGTATATGTGAACAACCTGCCCGGTCAAGTGTGCAGCCCATCCGTCATGTATGCGGATGACATAAAAATCTGGCGTACAATCAAGGATCCGAATGATCGAAGTTCTCTTCAAGCGGATTTGAACAACCTAGCTCAGTGGGCGGATACCTGGGCTCTTCCAGTCAACACAGCAAAGTGTGCTTACCAGCACTTGGGGCGTGCTGACTCAGAGGTAGTCTACAACTTTCAGGGAATGACATTGCGCACAACATCGTGCGAACGAGACCTGAGTATTATCGTTACGTCATCACTGTCTCAACCAATTTCATATCAGTACACTGATCCAGCTTCGAAGCTGGAGCTGTGGAACACAACCTACGTTAGCACATACTTTTATTAGTAATGTGACCTGATGTTCTACCAG